GTTTTAGCAATTTTTCGTGCTATTTAAATGTCTATAAGTACAGCAGCATAGTGTGGATGAGTACAGAATAAATAGGTCTGAGATCCAGTTCCGTTGCTCTGGCCCAAAAACCAGTAAGATATTATTATTTAATTAAGGGGTGAATAGAGAAACATTTCCTTCAAGGCCCCAAAAAACAAAATGATCCTTTTATTTCAGTTGTGGTGCTCGTAGCACAGAAAAACACAATTAAACCATCACCAGCACTTTTTTGTTTTACAGAAACAGTGTCCAGTTACTCTGGATAATCCACTGGAAAGATTCAGCTTACATTTGATCTATTTTTGCAGTAGCAAGTAGTTCCACACTGTTTGCAGTCAGGTCTGTCCAGAGAAACAAGGACAGAAAGTCACACTGTTGTTGATGAATTATTTAAAAAGTAATATCTCACTGCTTTGAGCATAACAATTGAAATTCCTTTCACCTCCATTGTGTTGAGGTGAGGACAGAAATCTCACAGACATTTCACAACCTAAAACCAAAACTATCTGCATGGCAGCAGCTGAGTTGGAATTGTGTCGTCTTGATTTGGGTGAACCGAGTAGGCTTGTAAAAGTCCCAGTAAGTCAGTAAGCCAATGTTATCTTAAATTCAAAGTTTGGTCCTTGATCTCATTAACTTCTGGACTGTATTTTTGTGTTTACTTATCAAAATACTAACTCATCTGCTGCTCCATAGAATGAAACCTACAGTATAAGGGATCCAGCATAGGTCCGTACTAAAGAAAGAATCCTGTGTAGCTATTCTCACTGCTCCTAAAGGAGTGATGGCCCGACCACCTCTTACAAAGACTATTAATGTCATTATGAGAGGTGACAACGATGCTTGTTTATGTGTAAACAAGTACTGTGAGATGGCATTTACATGGGATATCCTTGCACTGTATGCATGAAGTGTTGTTACATGTCCTGTACTGCATCCATCATCTTTACCTGCTTTTAGTAGGAAACTCTCCCAAATTTGCATCTTGTCATCAGGGGGACTAATTGAAACAGTGACCTCATAACCCAAAAAAGATTTCTGGTCTGTTGAATTTAGTAAATTAATTTTCAATTAATAAACTGACTATAAGATTTATAATTGAGACGTCCTGCCCTGATAATAGATGGGACGTGTATTAACAGGTTAAAGTATGTCCTAGTTTTTTCTCTCACCCAATTCAGACATAAAATATATGGAAAGATGTGCAGAGACAGAGACTTTGATGTGTAAAGGCTCGGGGCTCGCAGCAGTGTGGGCATAGTCTTCTGAAAGATGCAGGCGTTTTTGATTTCTCCAGAGGTTTACAGATGTTCATGCTGCAACTTTTCTTTAGAGCTAAAATGAATACATCCTGTATGTAGTGGTGTCTGCTAACATATTAGCAGTTTTTATCAGAAAGTAAACCGCACAGTTACAGCCATTCACATCACAGGGCACAGTGGGCACTCTGTAGCTGCCAAAGATTTTGTTTACATGGTCACTTTTTATGTCCTTTCTTTTGGCGTTTGGAAGAGAAAACTCAGAATGGGAAGATCTGACTTGACTTAGAGGTTATGCTGTTAAAACTGAGCATTATCACAGTGATATACAGTGTACTGTAGCTTGAATTCATATGTACACATGGTTCCCTGAGTAACATCACACTGCATCACACTGTACAGGGACATAAAACACATAAAATATAATTACACCCTGAGCTTCAGTTATTGCTGTGTATTTTATTCATCTCATTATTCAAACTGATAAGATATATTTTTTTTCAAGAGCAAATAGAACTGGAGCGTGAATGACTATCTTGATTTTCTTCATCGCTATAGCAACAAAAGCAATATCCAAGTTGTGAATTAAAAACATCATTAACACATGCTCCTTTAAGCTCAGGAGGAGGTGCTGTCTGTGCGAAGATGTTTTTCCTTAGCCACTATAGTGCGTAGATAAAGTGCTTATTGTTCTTTGATAAGACTAAATAAAACTGGGAAAACAGAGGGGAGAGAGAGAGAGAGAGAGTGAAATAAAGTCTGGCACTAATGAAGGACAAACTGCCAAAAACCAAGTGCACAAAAAGCTTCATTTAAAAACTATCAGAGAGGGTTGACTAACCTAAATCCACAAAATTAGCACCCTGAAAGCACAACTGAGTGGTTTTCAATGCTGTGATGTTGAAACAGCCAACTAAATATTCTATTTACTTGATTCATCTAAATCCTAAGGCCACAAATCACTGTGTGTGTGTGTGTGTGTGTGTGTGTGTGTGTGTGTGTGTGTGTGTGTGTGTGTGTGTGACTTTATGCTAGTAAGAAAAAGGCAAATTAGGAGAAGGGAGAAAGAGACAGGAAAAGGGCCTGCAGAAACAAATATATATACACACAACCTTCAAAAGTTGTGCTGCTCTTATTTTTGTTGGAAAACTAAGTAGGAAAATAGTTATCTGTTCATGTGCACTGCACTACTGTCTTTAAAAAATAAAATGAAATGATGCAGGGTTAAAATTAATCTTGCTTTTGCTGCATGTGGTGTGACATGCTCCACTGGCAAATGATGAGGTATATTTCTAAGGTTCTGTATAATTGTATTCATTTTCTAATATAGAGAAGCTACCTTGTTGGAAAAACGCTTATAGTTTTGTGCGCCATGTTTGTCCATTCTTTCAAGTGAACTAAATGTCTTCTTGTTCTCAAACAGCATTGGCAGCTGTTTCTTAAATTATTGGAGGATACATGCAAAAGCAAAGTCCAGGTTCCAGCGAAATAAAGAGCCCACTTACGGGAGCTTGGCAGCTCTACAAAAAGCATGTTTCCTTGCTGCATGATTGTAATTATTAGAAACTTGCTCCAACAATGGCATCCATAATCTATTAGAATAAACAGCTGTCTGTGAAAATTAGGAAATAATCATTTTGCATAGACAGCTGTTTATTCAAGTTCATTCAAATTCATGCCAGATGTCAAGAAAACTCTAATTTGATTTCACAGTGCACTCAATACCAAGTCATATAGAGCTACAATATTAATCATAATTAAATACCATTAATGGGTTTTGAAAAAATAAAAGTTTTATTTTCTCTCAGTGGTAATGATTAATGAGAATAAAACATTTATGTTTAAAGACAAACATGACAAACAAAAACAAACATTCACCGAGGAGTCAAGGTGAGTGTTTTGTTAAGCATTATCACTTATTTAAAGAAGCTGCCAGAAATCCATAAAGCAAAGACAAGCTGCAGTAAGAGATATCAAGACCAAACAAAGCCAGTTCAGCCAGATAAAACACTGCCTTGAGAAGTATGTACACAGAGATAAAATGAACAGGAGAGATGCATGCCAAGTTGTACCATATAACAAGCCAGCAAATCCAAAACCTTCCCTCTGGTAACTACCCAGACAATAGGCAGATGTGGCTGGATTCATGCGCTACCGGATTAGAAGTCCGTTATATTTAGATATAAAGAGGGGAAGCCAAGTGGCTTCCACCTTGTCCTTTGGTAGACCACAGCTCTTTGAGTTTCATTATTATATATACTTTTTTCCTCAACTACTGTTTTCTAGAAATAGCAAAGAAGTCGGTGCTGCACTTAGCTGACAACCACCTCACTTGGAGTGATAAACAGGGACCACTTAGGAGTGAATCAGGGGAGATTGGCTCTGCCATTTTAGATAAGGATCAGCTCGTGGGCACACCTAGACCTGCATAAATCTGTTCAGAGGAGATGGTGATTTGTCATGTCGCACATGTCTTATGTGGAGGGACAAAGAAAAAAAAACCCAACAACAACAGCAATGGCAGGATCCAAAATATTCTGTCTCACCCATTCTTTTTTGTACTTGATGTCAAGATCATGCAACATCAACAAAAATCTGTTAGTAATTTTAATTTTTTGTACTGTACATGCTGTTCCGGTACAGTCTATTATGTGTGAGGTGATATGCCACTGTGTGTGAAATAGTGAGTTAGCAGGAACATGCATGAGGGAGGTGATTCTAGCACGTGGGCTGAGAGATTAATGAGTGATTTTTGACAAATGAATTTTTATCAGTTTCATCCATTATTGAGTCATTTGCTATGATGACTTTGTCTGTGCAAAATGGACAAAATGGTGCAAAATAGTAGTAGCCCTCAGTCCTAACTAAGCAGGATCTGACACTGAACTGGTCAAACACTTCTTAGCATTAACAAAGTTTAATAATAGAATTAATAAAATTTTACCAGTATGTTTTAAATAAAAAGAATCAAGAGATATCTCCCTAGTTTGATATGTCTCTCCACAACAACTACTACTGTTCAAAAAAAGGGCTGCACTCCAAGGTATGAGTCAGGTGCTCTCAGCAAAAGTTCAACAAAATCAAAAAGGAAGGTTAAATGGGTTTTTTGTCAGCCATGTGTTTTTTAAGCTAAAAAAAGAAACATAATATTGAGGCATCTTTTATAACAACTAAGAAAACATTCTAGAAAAGTAGGGGACTCCTCCCCAAAACCCAGTTAGGACTAGATACACAAGACATTTTCTGCTGAAAATGAAAAAGCACGAGTAGCATTTTATTGTGCAAAATGCTGTTATGGACCAAAGACCGGCTGACCCTGAGTATGCCTATGTGCAGACAAGAAATGCAAGACAAAAACACAGGAACACTGAAAAGGAAAGAGAGGGCATGACAGTCAGATGTCACAACATAATTGGATTTAACATTAATTGTATCATATAGTGAAGTGTGAAATGCCCTCAAGCTTTTTTGAATATTACCCTTAAACACTACACACAGTTGAAAGTAGACATTTTAATGTTCATCTCATCAAAACTTTAAAATATAAAAAAATTTAAGTTATGAGAAGATGTCGTCATGTCCGTATGTTGTAAATCTAAAAACACATTTCTGCTATTCCAATTAAATACGAGTTAAAGTGTTACTCAGTTTCAGGGTCATTTTTAGGGTTTTTACAAGACTAATGGTTGCAGAATGAATCTT